TTGTATATATTCGTTGTTGTCGTCATTAAAGTGACTTTAACGCATTCTCTGCTGGCGGACATTTCTTAGCCGCTCCGATCCCCGGTTTCCTTCAGCAAACATCGCTTTCTATCGTCTCGTTGCGATCACTCGCGCACTCAACACATACAAATGTATTAATTAAAAAATGTATGCAATAAATACTAATTATATATAATATATACCTCTTTTTGAATTGTGTGTCCATTCTCCTTCATAAAACATAGAAAAAGCTGTTTGTATAATGAATTTATCTTCCTATTCTTCTGTAACATATATCAAGAGGCACGGTAGTGTCTCGCGCCAAGTTTAAGCGTAACGAAGTTGCGCCCGAACGGCGCAAGGCACACCTATAGTGCCTATATTACGCGAAACTGCGAGTTGAAACGAGGTGAGATATTCATATTTCAGCAATGGCTGAACCGATGGAGGTTTTTTAGTTCCAATCGAATCGGCTTTCAAAAATAGGAAGAAAAGTGTTCTTGTGCTTTTTGTGTACGTTGTCTCTAAGTGGAGACATTTTAAGATAAAGTCTGAATCACGGAAAATTTCGATTCAGTAAGAAAGAAACGTCGGACGCAAAGGAGTGGGATTATGCGTGCACATTGCTTTCCCGACACCAGGGGCGCTACGAGCGTGCTGAAGAAGCAAAGAGCAGCGAGTACGAGTGAGCAAGCGATAGAGAATAAGAGAGAGAAGAATATTGCTAGAATACAGGAGGTGAAAATATGTGATAGAGAGAAAGAGAGCGAGAGCGAAAGAGAGAGAGAGAGAGAGAGGGAGAGAGAGAGAGAGAGAGAGAGAGAGAGAGAGAGAGAGAGAACAGGAGAGAACAGGAGAGAATACGGGAGAGAGAATGGGAGAGAGAATGGGAGAGAGAACGGGAGAGAAACGGGAGGGAGAACGGAAGAGAGAACGGGAGAAAGGGAGAGGGAGAAGGAGAGGGAGAAGGAGAGGGAGAAGGAGAGGGAGAGGGAGAGAGAGAGGGAGAGGGAGAGAGAGAGGGAGAGAAAGAGAGAGAGAAAAAGAGAGGGAACAGGCGAGAAAGAGAACGGGCAAGAAGAAGGAAAGGGAGAGGCATAAAAAGGTGAGAATACTGTTGGTATGCGTCACAGTATGTTATGATGCACGTCATTTGATTGCCGGTCAGCTGATGCTGAGCAGACGATGTGATGAGCTATGCCATTGAAAAATCAATACCGATGTTTATTGACTCGTCGTCCAGGGTGATCGCCCTTCAATTATAAGGACCGCTTGATACAATTTATAACTCAAGTGGTGCAGGTAATACGCAAATTAGGTGAAGATATTTAACAAGTAAGTATAAATTAATGACATATATTAATGGTATATGTACGTGACGTATATATAAAATAATGTAACATAATATAAGACAATATAATATAATGTATGTATGTTATAACTGAGAAACATAACATATATATATGATTATTGTATATTTAATACATAACAAGATTTTACAAGTAAAATTTATATAAAACTTACCTTTTTAAACAAAAAGGTAAAAAAAGGCGCCAAGTACAAGCGCAACACATATTGTGTTATTTTTAGAAATTTTAAATTCAAATTATTTTTTTAAGGCATATATGTGTACATAATATAAGTTTTTACAAGTAAAACTTATAACTATAATAAAACTCTACAACACTATTCTACTGTACAAAAGAAGTGATATATTAGAACAGTAGCGCCAACTGAGAAACCTAACATATATATATGATTATTGTATACTTAATATTTTTAGAAATCTCAAATGTAAATTATCTCCTTTTTTAAGATATATATTATGTACATAACATAAGTTTTTACAAGTAAAACATATCAAATTATTTTTCTTTTAAGATATATATGTACATAAGCTTTTAAAAGTAAAAATTATATCGTACTATAAAAATTTAACACGTTTTTAATAGTGTCCAATATTTAAAAAAAAATATCTTCTTAAAGGTCATTGTTATTCAAGAAAAATCTAGCTACAAAAAATGTTTATGGCATAAATTTTTACAAGTAAAATTTATCATTATTTATTAGAATACTGAGTTACATGGTTATTTTACTTGTTGTTATAACAAATTAATTATTATAACAATGCAATAAAAAATATTTAATACAAAAATTCTTGGCGCTGCTGCACCAAAAACTATATTGAACGAAAACTTGTTTAATATGATATATACATGAATAAATAATTCAATATATTTGCAAAATTAATGTTGTATACACCGGTATTGTCCATTATCATCGTTGATCTATTGAAATGCTGCAGTACAGCGCTTGTCTATATTTGAAGGAAGAACCTGAAACTTATTTAATATATTACTGCTGTTTTCAGACATGTCATATCGGTGCGTTGTAGATGCATGTTCTATGTGAATGGGTGTATATTGTGATTTTGTATGTGTAGATATTTGCAATGTTACATATTGTGTAGAGTTTTATTGGGGTAGATATTGCGTTTGAATGGGTATGTGTGTTTGTATTCCGCGTATGAGGAGTGTACGTCTGATTATTAATATCATTATTAATATTATGAATATTATATGAGGAATTCTCCTGAAGAATTCCTCTCAACTCCCTTATATCCTCTTCCAAGGTTTTGCCAATGTCCTTTTGTTTCCTTGCAGTATCCATTGACCTCTTCCGGGGTGACTCGTCAGAAGAAGTAGTCTGATATCTCGATGGTTTTATTATGGATCGTTTTGGACGGTCCATTTGCCTTGTGACGTAGCGGCCGTGGGGGCGCCCGTCACAAGAGAAACCCTCGGTCCGTGAGCGAGATTTGCGGGGGGGGGAAGCCGAATTGCCGCCCCCCCCAAAGTAATTAGCCCTAAGAGATAAGAGCGTGCAGGTGCGACGGTCGCGCGTCCCCAAGATTTGTGCCCATGGACCTCCCGAGCCGGCCACCCGGACAGGAGGACCAGGGAGGATGCCGAGGACGTCGCTCACCGCCCGGCGCGGCCAGCTCAGGTGAATGCGCTCGTTTCTCGTCTCGTCGCAGAAAGTTTATCGTAATTCCGCAATGATTACCGCTGCCGTGTATTATTCCATAGGCTAACCCGACAACACGGACGAGGCAGCAATATACCGTCGAGCACGTTCTCGACACATGGGTCGCTAGTCAAAAACAACGGCTAGACAGACAAAGAGTCACGCTCGTGAGACACCGTGAGCGAGAGAGAGAGAGAGAGCGAGAGACCGAGAGAGAGCGAGCGAGACAGGGCATCCGTTCCGCGGATTGTCAACAGAATTTGCGGAAGGATTCCCGGACGAAAAAGAAAAGAAGGAATAACAGGAAAAAAACGAGAGACGGGAAGATCCGTTTTTCTCTCTCGATGACGAGTTGAGTTTTTCGCCTCGAAGAAAAGATTGAGATTCACTTTTGGCCGCAAACGAGAAAGATTGGTGTACCGCTCGCAAAACGAAAAGATTTGTGTACCGCTCGCAAAAGAGAGAGACTTGTGCGTCGCTCGCCAGAAAAGGAGCTGTGTGCCGCGTGCGAAGGAGAAAGGAGATTGGGAGAGTTGACCGTTACCGGAAAGTGGAGGAGGGCCGTGCATTCTCGAAGGCCAAGATCCCGGAGAGGACCTAGCTGCCGCTGACCGTGTGACCGGACCGACCGACCCATCAATCATCGAGGACCACGCCGCCGAGAAGTTCCCGTCACTGTAAGACCGTCCACCTGCCATTTGTTTTTCCGGTGTACCGTCCAGTGTTGCGTCCCGTGAAAACGCATTGTAAATGAAGAGCGGTATCGACCTCGCGTAGGAGCGACCGGAAACGATGTACCGTATCGCGAGGAGCCGGAGGTTACCGTCTTCCGGTATTACCGAATAAATTTAAGTCTCGCCAAATAGGCCGTTTTGGTTATTTCCTTCTTCGAGTATTCCGCCTCCCGATTTCCGACGAACCCTTCCCGTCTGCCGACTCGAATCAACCCCGAGCTACCGGACCCGGCGGATTCGCGCGCCGCGGGTAAACTTCGCGTTAGTGAGTGGTGCAGCCCGCTGCACCTGGCGCCCAACATCCGGTTGGTGCAAGACCGCGGCGCACGGACTGACGGCGGTTTGACGGCGCTTCGAAAGAAGTGTCGCAGCCTATATAAGAAAATGCATAAAAATATACTGAGTACGTTAAATATATATACATATGTGTGTGTGTGTTTTACTTGTTTCATTTTTATGTCTTTTAGTTTAGTTCCTATATAATTATATTATATAGAAATTAAACATGTCAAATTATATATTTATAATTATATTAATTAATTGCAGTCATCTATGATTATAAATCTTATATTTCAGTAAAGTAAACTATTCTTTTCCACATAGAAGAGAACTTATGCAACAATTATTGTATGAAAATAAAAACTTTGAAAATAAAAAATAATAAAATAGTTTTAGTTCAATTAAAAAGTTAAAAAAATATGCACTTGGTTAAAAAAAGTTTGCTTATTATTAGCAGCAAATAAATTTGAAATAATGAGAGAACATTGAAAGAAAGAAATAAGAATTTGTTACATTTTATCATTATATATAATAGCAGAAATTATATATTTATCATATTCTAAGTAATTGTCATCGTTACTACTATTCTCATTTTCTGACATGCAATTCCAAAAAGGCATCTTATAACACTTTGCATGGATTTCCTTTATATGTACAGAGAAAATATTATTATCTAATGTGGAACATTTAAAGATGTACAGTATAAAAGAAGAAATACCAACGTCATAAAAATTATTTACATCCAAAAATTTTCTTACTACTAAACGATGTGAATTGTCCACTACTAAAATATTGACAATAATGCAAATAGAATCATCATTCAAAATACAGCAATTATTATGTTTGTCTAAGCTGAGCAAGATTCCATTAAATATGATCTTACGATATTGGCAAGAGTTTGAAAGAAGAAAGCGTGGAAGAGGGCCTACGTTATGCTCCATGAACACGCGGACTGCTGAATCCGTGCTCAAATAATCAGTTGCTGTATTTGCTTCTATCTCTGCCATTCTATTTGAAATTTGCTGCAGAGGAAGATCAGGTTTTCTACAATACTTTCGGAAAATTGTCATATTATTTTCATATGGGAAGGCAGAAAATGAATCAAGAAGACCTAGTTGCCGCACATCATTTGCAATATGAAGGAGACCGTGAATATTGCAGGAATTGAATGTTGAACCGTACATATTTTCACATCTCTCAACAAACTTTTGCAACGCTACTTCTACAAAATTCAGGTATATTTTTGACGATGACGTTGAAACTAAAATCCTTATTGCTGCATGAAGCAATAAAAAGTATGTGTACACTTGCTGATTAAGAATATCGTATGTAACAATAGGACCTGTATAAAGAAAGAATTGTCGAAATTCTGTCGCTTTATATTTAGTGCATGCATCAAGTGATCTAAGTTGTGCAAAATCAGATGGACAATATGCTCTAAGTATTTTCATTCGTGCAGATATAATAGAAATAGATTTTGCAGATAATTTCGAAAACTTTGAGTATTTCCCATGTACCCATGCATTCACTAACAATTTCTTCATTACTCCAAGGCACACCAGGTGCATATATTCAAATGGATCCTGTGTAACCAATCTTATCGGTAACATTGACAATGGACTTTTTCTTTCTTTATGACCTTTAGATGACCTTCATCTAAATTACGGATATATTCCTCATCGGTACAAAAAGAATGATCAATACCATGAAAAGTATAACGTCCCTCACATCGTTGGCCATTAACTTTACATTTGGAGCATGGCTGTTTGGATGTATGGCCTCGATGATTCAAAATAAAAGCACGAGCTGGCGCATCAGCTATAAAACATCTTAACTGTAATGGTATCTTACTATCATTATGACTTATACTTCCGTTGGCAAATATTCTCTTAACATCTACAATAAATTTGTCAAAAAATATATTTGGATCATTTGGTTTTGCAGTGCCTCTGTATATCCCTATTATTATTGGCCTTGTGTGTTTTATTGCATTAAACGTTGACCGATCAACCGCTTTTCGGCGTTTAAAAAAGATGGGATTCGATTTGAAGCTCGACATATGGGTGCCCCATTTGCTGACCGAGAAGAACAAAATCAAGCGAATTTCTGCAGCCGTTTCTTTACTCGGGACTCAATAACGAGTCGTTTTTGGATCGACTAGTGACGGGCGATGAGAAATGGGTCCTCTACAACAATGTTCAGCGCAAACGGACATGGAAACAATCAGGTGAGCATGGTGACGCAATGCCAAAGGCCAGTTTGCACCCGATGAAGGTGATGCTCTCTGTTTGGTGGGATTGCAAGGGCATAATCTATTTCGAGCTTCTCCCCGCTGGCGAAACGATTGATTCGGACAAGTACTGTCGCCAATTAACCAATCTGAATCGAGAAATAAAAGAGAAACGTCCGATTTTGTCAAATCGCAAGGGAGTCGTCTTTCATCACGACAACGCCAGACCACACGTTTCGAAAAAGACGCTGCGCAAACTGAAGAGCCTGAAATGGGATGTCTTAACGCATCCACCGTATTCTCCTGATATCGCACCATCTGACTATCACTTGTTCCGGTCATTGCAAAATTATTTAAATGGAAAAAACTTTGACTCTTTGGAGGCCTTAAAAAACGGCGTCTCTTCGTTCTTCGAATCTAAACCGCGCAGTTTTTATGATCGAGGCATCCGTATGCTGCCAGAACGTTGGGAAAAGATTATAGAAAACGATGGAGAATATATCATTGATTGAATAAAGATTTTTGTTTGCCTAATCACTGTGTGACTTTTATTCACAAACTCCGCACGAACTTTTGTACTCACCCAATAATAAAAGCAAAGAGGTTTCATTTCGTACTTCTTGATTCTGTTACAATATTCTTTTATATTTCATACTACATCCTTGTATAACTTAAAATTATTCTTAAAATATTATTAAACAATTCAATAATCAAATCTGTGAACCTGCCCGACTCCGCAAAATAATTAATAAAATATATTTCATTTTCTTGGCGCCGAATATTATTAATATTATTACAAATAATATTACGAATGATATAAATTTTTACAAATAAAATTTGTATTATTTCTAATATTTGTATTATTTGTAACATTATTATACAATTACAAATAAAATTACAAATAATAATATTACAAATAATATATATTACAAATAATAATATTATTAATAATAAAATATTATTTGTAATAATTTCGGTGCGCCGAGTAGACAAAACTTTTCAGTATTGTCATAGAGAGGAAAGGAGAGAGAGACAATCGCGCCTTTCAGATTCAGATTATGGGTAAGAAAGAATTAGGCTCGCTCGCTGAGCGAGAACGAGTGCGACAAGGAGGGAATGATATTCTCTCTCTCTCTCGCTCGCTCGGCGCGTCGACAATTGCCGATCGCGTGGCTCACGAGGATTGACCGAGCTGGCTGTGCGCGTATATGGGGGAGGGGGAGGAGAATCCTCGAGCAAGCCCGTCACCAAATTCGCATCACTGATACCAATGATATCAAAACCGAACAAGCTGCGGACAAGCGTAACTTGTAAATACCGGAGATCAATTGTTTATCAGCTCATAGACAATTAATATGACGAGATACCCGCGGAGACCCGTGTACTTCTCTTTCGTCTTTGCGTACAATTGCGATCAATAAAAAATGTTCACGAATTGTTCGGTTTTGACATTATTGGTATACGTGTGTACGTGTGTGTGTATGTACACTAATAAAATGTAAACAAATACAATTGCGTACACGTACAATTGCGATATACACTTATCACGTTAGCATTGATCATTTTTATTCATGCTAAAAGAAATAAGTATGATTATGTAAAGAATTTGTCTGCGTATTATTATACATTCTACATAGTTCTCCCTGTGATAGTAAAAATAACACACTTGAACAACCTCTACGCTCATATCACAAAGCCTGATCCACAGCGCTACTGAAGCAAATTAATAATTCTTCTGCTATAACGACATTAACAGAAAAGACTAAACTTCAAACTACATTTCTCAAAAACGTTTAAGATTTGCACCGTTATTGGGTAGCATTTGTTACTATTACATCAATATTATACTTTTCTAAAAGCAAAATCACGCGGTTATTTCAAGGATGAAGATTCCTCTCGTGTGAGATATTAATTAATCATTCTTTATTAATAGGAAAAGATTTTCCTTTGATTTAAATGTTCAAGAAAAGTTATTTGTTCTCTGAGAATCTTTCAATTTTTATGTTCGTGAAAAGTTTATAAAATTCATAAAGAAAAAAAGTTATTTTACTACCTGTTCAATAGTTGCGCATAAGAGATATTTTAACAAATCTGAATCTGAATCAGTCAACAAATTAAATTTTTAATTCAAAGAAGCATATGTAGGGTAAACATAAATAAGATAAGTATAAATAATAAATTAAATATTATTCTTTGAATATAATAATAAATAAATGTTTTTTTCTTTAGCTGAATCATCGAAGTAAATATTCTATTATAAATTGACTTTTCGGATTACAATATTAATTTGATTTTTCAGAGTACGCTTTCAAATTGACTCTTCGGAATACGCTATTAAATTGACTTTCGGAGTACACTTTTGAATTGACTCTTCTGACTACACATTTGTTAGTTGACTCTGTAGAGTATATATTTTTTAATTAACTCTTCGGAGAGAAGAGAAGAGAAACATTTTATATTTTATTTAAAAAATCTTAATTTTTGCAGAAAACTGATTGATGAAGAAAATAATTAATTCACGACCTCAACGAAGATCTTAAAAAAATACTGCAAGAAATGAAGTTGTTGTTATTATATGCCATATTGTACAATATTAAAACATACGCGCAATAATTATCTATAATTTGCATATATGGGCGTTTATGTAATTATAAGTAATATAAAAGTCATGACAAATTAATGTGGCCGCGCGTTATCTCTGTCGCGTCATTACTAGAAATCGTCCGAACTCTCGAAATTATTTTCTTCCCGAATTATGAATATAAAACAATGTGGAAAGGAAAACAAGGGGGTAAAAGGGGGGACGGCGACGTCTGTCTTACGATAACATCGCTGCTGGCTCGCTTCGTCGCGATTGTCTATTCGCTGGTGGTGAGACGAAGACCGATTCTTCGTTTTTATCTAACTAATCTAGCTCGCTAGTGAACATAGCACAGAACCGAATAATTATGGACATAGTACCGGAATAATACCGACAAATCGTGGACATTGGCTTAATAGTTCATGTCCATGGAAAATGGACCCAGTTGGCGCTTCGATCAGCCAACTTTTCCATAACGCTGTAAATGCAGCCATGCCCGCTCTCAGGTTTCTCTCTGTGCTGGGTTAAATAAACCCAGCTTATTGGTCGAACTATATATACTATATAGTACATGTTCTACCAATAAGCTGGGTCTATTTAACCCAGCGTGGGTTAACCCAGGTCCAGTCGAATACGTTATAAAATAAGTGTAAATAATGGCTGCGTTCCGATATTCACTGTCAGCACTGAAAATCTATAATATACGTGACATAAACTATATATTTTCAGTACTAGCAGTGAATACCGGAACATAGCCAATAGCATAACCAATATAATTTCCAGAATACAAATAATTTTATCTTTGTTATTTCTTACATTATTAGTATAATCAACAAAGAGAGAGAAAGAAAAACAGAGCCTATGACATCAGCAGAACATTTCATTAGTCTTATAACAGTAACAAGTGCAAAGAAATTAGCTACTGCACTTGTTGTCTGTTTTATTATTTATCATGGAGTCATATATCTCATTTATGGTACTGTAAAAATATTGAGTTAATTTATTATATAGTGATTTCTTTACTTATTACATATATTATTGTCAGAAAGTTTTTTTATTTAACATTGATGTTTTTTTAATATATAATATTAATTATCTGATAATTTGAATTACTGTTAAGCTTTATAAGGCATCTTAAATAATTAAAATAATAATTTATTTCATATTCACAGGTAGTGATTCTTGCAAATGGTTATTAACAGAAGGTAGATATAAAGGAGATAAAGAATGGCAACCTTATGGATGTATGATGCACCATTATACACAAACGTGAGATTATCATTTTTAGATTATTCTAAGTACTTTTTTATATAAAATAAAAATTTAATATCTTTACACAGAGACAGCAGAAGATGTATGCGGTATCTAGCTTTCATGGGTCACCGTAATCATTTTGTATTCATTGGTGATGCTAGAGTAAGACAATTGTATAAGTCCTTTGTCTCACAATTTATTGTTGATGGCAAAGCATCAGATCTTATAGAATTACCTGAGAACTCAGATTTGGGCTTTAATGATGGACAACTTAAGTTAAATGTACAATTCTTATGGAGACCACAACTTGATAATTCTATGATAATGGATCTTAGAGGCTGGATGGTAACATTATATATTATATAATATGAATTCATCTGTACAAGATTACTAAGATAGATTACTAAGATAGATGGAACATCCGAATTTAATATATCTTTCATATTACAGAATACAGATGCACCAAGTATAATTGTTGCTGGTTCTGCTGCAGCTGTGATTCTGATGAACAATAACAGTGATACGCAACTTTATTCAGAATACAGCACTGGTTTGATCCGGTTAGTACAGCCAGTAGATTTCTTGGCTAAGAAGGGATCACAATTTCTGTGGATGTTACAAGATCCTGTGCTCAAAGAAAGACTGCCTTCACAATTATCAAGTTTGGATAACAAACAAATCAATTCGTGTAACAAAGCAGCAGAGAAGGTATTGCTAATGTAATCTAATTCTTCTGTTATCACAAAGGAAAAATTGAATACTTCATAATTGCTGCATACAGATACTGTCCCATAGTGAGGCTTATATATGGCAAAGCAGTAAACTAGTAGGTACAGGTGTCCTTGAACAAAGTCCAGATGGCTATTTAGCAAGTCCATTATCACTTCGTCATAAAATACAGATATTATTAAACACATATTGCAATGACCATATGAATTTTGATGATGGCAGTTGTTGCAGCTATCCTGAACCAGCAACCACTTTGCAACTACTAAGTCTGTCTGCACTTGCATTATGGTAAAAAATTATACTTATTTATTTGTATGCTAAAAGTGTGCTTTATAAAGAAAATAAGTATGATAATTTGCGATAGTATAACAATAGGAGGAGCAGTGGGATTATACAGAAAATTTTGCAAATATCGTTCGGAAATGTTCTATTCTCATGTTAGTATGGAAGAAACAGAAGATGCAGAGGAAGAAGGTGCTTCAGAAGTCACTCAAGTTAAACAGTCTGAAATGCAAGATTTGTATACTCTCATCATGTCATTGGCTCTTTTCTCGATTATACTAGCATATTTTTACTTATGTGACAGGTAAGTAATGGCATGTTTGACTGAATTTGCGATTTTCTCTGTATATAACTTTTTTTCAATAACTTCATTTACTTTTATTTTATTCACAGAACAAATTTTTTCATGAAGGAAAATAAATATTATAGCGAATTCAGCTTTTGGTTACCACTTGGGTATATCTTGGCCCTTGGATTATTTTTCACCGAAGATCGTGAAAGAGGACCAAGTGCATTAAATAGAGAACAAACAGATGAATGGAGAGGTTTGATGCAAGCGGTTGTACTCATATATCATGTTACTGGTGCCAAAAACGTTTTACCCATTTACATGTACTTAAGATTAATTAACTCAGCTTACTTATTTTTGTCTGGATACGGGCACTTTTGTTATTTTTGGCAAACTGGTGATGTATCTCTTGTCAGATTTGCTAGAGTATGTATCAGAAAAATTGTGTATTTTATATCATTAAAGTTTTCTTTTTTTTTTATTAGAAACAAAACTAACCTCTATGTTTCAGGTCATGTTCAGACTAAATTTATTGACAGTATCACTATGCCTTTGTATGAATAGACCATATCAATTCTATCACTTTGTACCGTTGGTATCGTTTTGGTTTTTAGTTATTTACTTTCTGACTTGGTTGCCACCCAGAATATATTCAGGAAGTTTGGCAGAATATGGTCCGAGAGTCTTGCTGTACTTTGCTCTGAAGCTTTTGGGACTTGTGTCGATAATCACCATATTATACATGTCAGAGGTAATAGGAAATCTTTAGAACGCATCAGAATTTCTAAATATAACGCACTTCATTAGTGCAGGTGTTCTTTGAGAAAGTTTTCGTCACGAGGCCATGGAAGGCATTATTCGTGACGACCGATGACGATATTCGCGAATGGTGGTCTCGCTGGAGAGTCGATAGATACAGCGTGGCTTGGGGCTTGACTTTCGGAGCTGGTCTTGTAGCTCTTCAAAGAATAGATCACATTCCGGGTACAGCTTTATCTTCTTTATTGGCATTAGTTTCCTTGATAGCATATACTACTTTCACGATTTTGTGCCATTCCGTCGCAGAGTGTGAAGAAATCCACTCTTACGTCGCTTTTATTCCGGTAAATCACCTAACTTCTTTTCTTATTGTACTTTTAGTTGTGTATCTAATTATTATTTGATTGTAGATTATAGGATATATCGCTCTACGAAACGCATCGTTGGCATTACGTGGAAAACATTCCGCACTTTTAGCTGGATTAGGTAGAATAAGTTTGGAAACTTTAGTTGCACAGGGTCACATATGGCTGGCGGCAGATTCGCACGGAGTGCTCGTATTGTTACCGAGATTTCCAGTATTAAATTTATTGATTACATCGTTTATTTTCATCTGCGCTAGTCATGAAGTAAATACTAGTTGCTTCCCATATTACTAAGATATGTGATTGTAACTGCAAATATATATTGTCTAATGGAAATTTTGCTTTTCAGATTCATAGATTGACGCATGTACTAGCACCATATGCAGTACCAAATGATTGGAAATTGGTAGCTCGTAATTTATTATTATTTATCACTATATTAGTACCTATCGGCATTCATGATGGAATGTTTTAACAAATAAAATTATCTTTATAAAAATAAGAAATATTAGCAGTATTAACATGCAGAAAACAAGATTTCGTAAATCATACGTAATAGTTTGTGAAAAATAATGGTCAGCAAAATTAAATGAACATGTGTATCATGCTTATAAGGCGAAACAATTGCATATCATCACAATGTGTATTAACATGAAACTTCATTTGGACTATTTTAGAAATAGAGCATAAACAAAAATAATATTAATTTATTTATATTATATCTTATTTGTAATTCACACAATTTGCAATTTTATAAAACTCAGTTTTAAATTACAATACATATAAGGCATCTTAAATTAAATATACCATGGCAAATGTATCATTAATATTAGTCCTTACAAGAAATAATTCTAATATAAAAATAAGAATTTTAGTACAAGGGAAAACCTGTAAGTAATGGTCATTTTATTTAATTTATTACTTAAATTATTTTCATGTTGATAATTTTGTAAATTCAACTAGTCAACTTAATTGTTAATTATTCACGTGTTATATTTTACATGGCTTGTGTATATATCATAACCAAGAGATATCATATTGTCATAGAGTACTCTATATCGTGTAGGAAGGAAATAAAAATTAATAACTTGTGCTGGAGGCCATATAATCCACTCAGCTATATAGAGTCTGTGTGCTTTTGCTTGGATTTCTTCCTTCAATTTTGCTAGATTGCTATTCTCTAACATAGCTAATGTTAGGAAAAATATACTTATACAAACAGGTGAACAAATCAATTGATCTATAACCACCTTTCTTAGAACTATATTGAGCGTATGTCCAGTTATTTTAATATCCAAGAAATTGTACCAATAATGACAAAATATCCCAATGGATATACCAGATATAGCCATGTTTTTTGTTCTAGTAAAACTCCATTTGTCCCATTGGCCCTAACATAAAAATGTTATTATAATATAAAAATTTCAAAAATGTTATGTTATAATTATAATCATTAAACCTTTAATATTTCATAATGCTGTTCTATAACATCTCCTGTACCAGATAGAAAAATTGATATTCCTACATTTGTATATAATAAATTTTTAGATGAAAATAAATGTTCTTTTAGTATATTCACTCTACCAAAAACAAGTCCTATTCCTCTAGCGATGTTCATCGCCTAAAACATAAAATATTATTATCATATATAGTATTTTAAGTGCAGCATTATTTGATTCTAGTTTTAATTAGTAAAATTTATAACCTCAACGCGGTAATATTTCTACGATATTTGCTATAATAAAATCCAAAGAAAAGTAAAATTATTTCCTCAATGAACAACTTTGTTATTCTCTTCGTCTTATAATTATCAGATATCACATACCATAATTATTATCTGTGATCTCGCGAAAATTTAATATTTAAGTAGATGTATATATAGCCAAACTTGAGTAACCAGATTTGAAGCAGAACCTGATGCTACCAATTTTTGATGGCAAATAAGCAACATATTTGATGCAGGAGCTGTTATATTAAATCCTGCTGCCAAACTATCGCCAAATATGCGACAGAACCTGCTATCGGACAATTGCTGCAGATTTGCAGCAAAACTGTACAGAGCTTGCAGCGGCAAATTGGTGGCAGACCCTGTTGTATTGCAGGCTCTGCGCGATTTTTGCTGTAAATTTGCACATAATGGGTGCATTCAATGCTACAACCGCTTACTGAGCGCTCAATGAGCTTTTACAGTTGAGTATATTCCTTTAGATTTGGAAATATATACTAATCAGATGCAAGTGCTCACTTAGCGCTCAATGAGCGGTTGTAGTACTGAATGCACCCATCGGGTACGTTCAGCGGAGAAAACCGCTCAGTGAGCGATTAATGACTATTGGTCCTTACTGTTAGATCCTTACATTCAGACCAATAACGTTGACGAATTACTCAACAGTTGCGCAACTGTTGAGTGTCGTGAACGCCCCCAATGGCCGCGTTCAGTAGACTCAACAGTTGGACAACATTACTAGATTTTCCACCGAATCTTGCTCCTGATTGGTAAATACTTCTGGGTCTATGAAGAATCTAAAAGAATGCTCCAATCACAGACAATAATCAGTAAGCGCTCACTGATAATTTTGTTCTACTGAACGCAGCCAATGGCTGCATTCAGTAGACTCAACAGTTGAGACATCAGTTTCCGATGGATCGAACTCCGCTATGAATTTTCCACTGAATGGGTGCATTCAGTACTACAACCGCTCACTGAGCGCTAAGTGAGCTCTTGCATCTGATTGGTGTATATTTTTAAATCTAAAGGAATATACCAATCAAATGTAAAAGCTCATTGAGCGCTCAGTGAACGGTTGTAGTACTGAATGCACCCAATGGCCGCGTTCAGCAGACTCAACAGTTGGACAACATTACTAGATTTATCACTGAATCTCGCTCCTGATTGGTAAATATTTCTGAGTCTATGAAGAATCTAAAAGAATGCTCTAATCACAGATAATAATCACTAAGCGCTCTCTGATCACTTTGTTCTACTGAACGCGGCCAATGATCCGTTTGCGATATCGCTACTTATAATGGCTGCGTTCCGATATTCACTGCTAGCACTGAAATTCTATGGTATACGTGACACAAACTATGTATTTTCAGTACTGACAGTGAATTTCGGAACGCAGCCAAAGATGGCTACTTCCAATGTGTTGAAAAGTGAATAAGGTTAGGATTAACAGCAGAATTGTACATTTACACGTAAATTATAATAATACAGTGAAAAATATATATAATCTGACAATATATAATCTATGTGCGGATAATGTATAGATAATAAAGTTATTAAAAATTAAAGTTTTAGGTATATACAGATAAAATGGAATCAATAGCTGTTAAATTAATGTTATTATTTGCGGAAGATGGTGGAATACCCATGCATAATTTAAACAACATTATACAATCATTAATAAGACCTAATATCAACCTTAATTTAAAAAAATGTCGTGCCCGAATAAAACGTCGTAATTTGCATTATTTTGAGGCAACAATTCTTAGATTTATAGGACCAGTTTAAAGAAATGTTCAGAATAAACAGAGCAACTTGCAAAGTAAGCAACTATATACATGAAACAATTATAAAAATTAGTTAATGAATTTTGTACAATTTAATATCAAATATGAGTTTATATCTAAACTTAATTTTCTAGAGAATAGCTATATGTATCTAGAGAATAACTATTTGTAGGAGTGATTAATCAATTATATTTTGTACTTCTATTTTTATTTAATAGAATTTGTCAAATGTTATTGGACAACATCTTGCAAGATATGCAAATGAATATGCACCTCTCCAAAAAAAAGTATTATTGACAATATGGTTATTAAGCAGACCAGTAACTTTTCTAGCAGCAGGAGATAGATTTAATATACTTATAAGTTCAGCACATCATATTTTTAAAGAAATCGTTGATGTACTTGTTGACTTGATGCCAGTGTACATACAATGGCCAAATCATATTTACAAAAACACATATGTAGATGTAAGTAAACAATTATTATTATTATTATACTTAAAATCACTATTAGCAATAAGTTGAAAGGATAAAAAAAAGTTAAAATTAAACTTAATCATAATAATTTGTGATTCTTGTGTCTTTATTTACATTAGTCAATGTGTTTTATGTGGCAGATATTCGAGCAGAAGTCATTTGGGTTTCCGGGAGTAATAGGAGCAGTTGATGGTTGTCACATTCCATGCAAACAACTAAAAAACAATGCACATGACTATTACAACAGAAAAAGTTTCCATTCAATTATATTGCAAAGTACATCTTTACTGAACGTATAAAATGTATTAACTTACTAATTTAGAGAACCAGTTTGTGCGAAAATGATTACTTTTCATTATAGGTATTTGTGATCATCGCAGAAAATTTATTGATTGCTTTATTGGTTTATCTGGAAGAATGCACGATGCTCGCGTATTTAGAAATAGTACAATTTATCAACGTATTATAAATGAAAGAAATCCATTATTGCTGACCGATGAACACATCATTGGGGATTCTGCATACCCGTTAATGATCAATTTAATGACACCATTTAGAGACAGGACATTTAACAGTTGCTCAGTCATTATATTGGGTGAGTGCAAAAGTCCGTGCGGAGTTTGTGAGTAAAAGTCACACAGTGATTAAGCAAACAAAAATCTTTATTCAATCAATGATATATTCTCCATCGTTTTCTATAATCTTTTCCCAACGTTCTGGCAGCATACGGATGCCTCGATCATAAAAACTGCGCGGTTTAGATTCGAAGAACGAAGAGACGCCGTTTTTTAAGGCCTCCAAAGAGTCAAAGTTTTTTCCATTTAAATAATTTTGCAATGACCGGAACAAGTGATAGTCAGATGGTGCGATATCAGGAGAATACGGTGGATGCGTTAAGACATCCCATTTCAGGATCTTCAGTTTGCGCAGCGTCTTTTTCGAAACGTGTGATCTGGCGTTGTCGTGATGAAAGACGACTCCCTTGCGATTTGACAAAATCGGACGTTTCTCTTTTATTTCTCGATTCAGATTGGTTAATTGGCGACAGTACTTGTCCGAATCAATCGTTTCGCCAGCGGGGAGAAGCTCGAAATAGATTATGCCCTTGCAATCCCACCAAACAGAGAGCATCACCTTCATCGGGTGCAAACTGGCCTTTGGCATTGCGTCACCATGCTCACCTGATTGTTTCCATGTCCGTTTGCGCTGAACATTGTTGTAGAGGACCCATTTCTCATCGCCCGTCACTAGTCGATCCAAAAACGACTCGTTATTGAGCCGCCCGAGTAAAGAAACGGCTGCAGAAATTCGCTTGATTTTGTTCTTCTCGGTCAGCAAATGGGGCACCCATATATCGAGCTTCAAATCGAATCCCATCTTTTTTAAACGCCGAAAAGCGGTTGATCGGTCAACGTTTAGTGCTGTAACAACTTCTTCTGTTGAAATTCACGGATTATTGAGCACTAAAGTACGCAAAACATCGTCATCAATGTCAGAAGGTCGACCAGAGCGTGGCTCGTCTTCAAGGTTAAATTCTCCGCGCCGAAATTTAGCAAACCATTTTTCCACAGTTCGTTTAGCTGGTGCTTCATCCTGATAAACATCCTGAATGTTTTTTACGGCTGCGGCAACGTTTATTCCCTTCCGAAACTCGTAAAGCATAATATGCCGTAAATGCACCTTATCGATACTTATTTTTAAAGTAATATTTCTCGAAGCAGTTTGTATGAAAACAAATGATTTTTTTTTTAATAACAGCTAAAGACGTCACCTTTCCAACGTTATATAATATGTAGATGGAAGTATTAATGACAACACTTTACGACGCTTATAACTCCATCTATTGAAACTCCGCACGAACTTTTGCACTCACCCAATACAATACCAGACTTAGTTCAATTCGTTCAGTAATCGAGCGAACATTTGGACTTTTAAAAGGAAGATTTCGACGTTTGAAATATTTGGATATTAAGGATATGGATCTAGGAAAAAAAATAATTGCAGCATGTTGTGTATTGCACACAATTTTATGCAAAACGAGATGGATGAATATAATATCAATGACGTGATTGAAGAAATATCTAATGAAGAAAATTTAAACATATATATAGAAAACGAAGAACGTCCACAGATAATTGCCATACAAAAGCGCGAACAAATTATGCGTAAGTTATCTCGTAATGTATAGTAAGAAGTGCAAGTGTATACATATAAAGATGTAAAAGACTGGAAATATCAAATATATAATAAAACTTTATTAAATATATTTATAATATTAACACATGTATATATATTTTTATTTTTAATAAACAGAACTCTATATTTATATATTGTACTTTGGTTTTCTCTACATAAGAAAATAATATCCATAAGAGATAAAGAGATATAATTTTTTAAAGAAACAAAAAATCAATAGCTCCTTAAATAAAACAAAATAATATTCAAAAATTTACATAAACAAAATAATTGCACAGATATATATATAAGCCAGAAAAAAATTATATCTCTCTATATTAGGAACTACATATACTTTCGTCAAGAATTTCCTCTATCTCACATTTACACTTTTCCTCTATTTTGTGTTAGTACTTTTTCTCCATTTTATTTTATTTTGAGTATAAAAATACTCAATATTTTTTGTCTTTTTTAACTATACATTTTAATATTTTTCATATTTTTTATCTTCACATTTCACTTTGGTTTTCTATACATAGAAGTGTCCAACATCGATATATAATTATTTTTTAGGAAAAAGACAAAAATTAGAAAGCTCATTAAATAAAACAAACATATAATTCAAACGTCTTTACGAGCTAAGTAACTACGCAAATACAGGATGCTAAATTTCATATGTAACAGGTAAAATATCTCGAAAACTATGAAAAATATTAAAAAAGGCTAAAACACGTCTTCTATGATTTCAAAAAGAAAAGAGAATGGCATTATCAGTTTTTTATTTGGATGGCATTTTCAAGATCAGTAGAGGGTCAACCTAATTTTTTAAAATAGAAAGCCCAATTTTTTATTATATCTTCTTTTTCTACCAATTAATTTTAACAATTTTTATCTGAAACATTGTTTTATTTGCCTAATATTTTTTGAAATATTGGGTTAAGTAAAAAGTTTTGAGCGTTTTCCGCTAGATGGCTTTAGTGAGGTCGTATCTCACGATGTATACGTCGCATCTGGTCATTCTATACTGCGACTTAAAGGTGACATAACGCTTTAAAAAAAGTTCTTTGACAGTTTTGTGTTTGGTGAAGCCAGTTGTGTGTTAGAACGTTCCAAAA